GAATTTTACTTGATCTGAGAAACCACTTCCACGGGTCCAGTGGTAAAATTATTCACTACTTAGCTCAGTGGGTGTCCAGCATCTCAGTGAGCTTCAAAAACCTCTGCCCTAGGGAGCCGAGCAAACAACAAAGTGAATGGGTAGCCATTTCAGGTGCAGAGCTCATTAGCGATTCATTTGATGGAGGAAAAAGCTAGAATATAAAACTCTGACTGAAAAGCTAGGGCAGGACTAGGCCTTTGGTCAAAGTATGCATATAATGGTGGATCTTAAATATGTTTTACAGTTAAGGGGGTAAATTACTGGCTCTGCAAGGGACACCTCTCCCCCATGCCAACCTAGCAAGCAATCTTTTAAGAAAGCACAGAGGAATTTAAATCCAAATCCCCTTCTTAATAACCATCCCCTGCTATAATTCCTTATTATCTTTTTACAAATTCGCCCCATTGAAGCCTCATAAATATCCAAGCCTTATAGAGCACAAAGATCAAAGCAAGTGAACTCAAGTAGCAGAAGCCTAATCAACCACAAGCCAAAGAACTTACAAAGCTTGCACATCAGGAAAAAAAGCTTAATACTACTGATCAATAGGTAGAAAAACGAGTATCGAAAACCTACAGTATCTCACAAAACTATCAAATCTCACAAAATGCGTCCCCGCTTATAGCGAATAAAATATCTGCAAAAGCAAGTTCATCAAGAACACCCACCTTCTGCCTGCTGATCTATTACAGTTCAAAAGAATCCCTCTATTTTTCAGTCTTATCTCACGAGAAGCTAGGGCCGCTATCAGAACGAGGAACTACAGAGGCTTGGTAAAGCTCAAAGACAATATTTTGCCGCCACATTAGCAAAAATAACACATTACGGTCCCGAATGCTAGTTAAGTTCTATTTTACTCAACAACTTTAAATTACAAAATACACCAAGGCAAGTACTCAAGAGGGGCAGAGCCCCAACACAAAAGTTTAAAAACAAAACCTCTCCCAGGGTTGGGGGAGTAGCCGATCTGGGAACAGAAAAGCACCCCGCAGCAGCTCCATTCGTCTGCTAAGGCAGATCCCAAACTTATCAAAAACAGCCACAACTGCAGCTCCTGTCACCATGAAGCGCAGAGAGGAGCCCGAAGAGAGAGTTCCCGAGAGCTGGCCTTTCTGGAGACCGCCAGGCCGAGCCCGGCGCAAACAAGGAGGAAGTAACTGCCAGATAAAAAAGCCTGAGCAGCTCCAACTGCAGCTTCTGTGCCTCCCACAATCGCCCACATTCCCGCCCCACTCGGGGCTCCGGGAGGAAGGGAACAGGGCGCAGGTCTCCCGGGAGAGGCCGGAGACTACAGGTCCGCGTTTTTCAGGAGGCAGGGACAGCACCGGCCCAACTCTGAGGGGCCCAGGAGCCGAAGGCTGCGGAGCCTCCTCCGAAGGCATGTTTGGGGGGGGCACCCTGAGAAAGGGGTCGCTCTGGAGGCGGGGCCTGCCGGATGGAGGCAGCAGCTTCTGGCGCCCTGGCCTCCCCCCGGGGGAAACCGGGCGCGCACCCCGACGCGGAAGCCATGCGGGCCAGAGCTCGGGGTGCTGAGGAGCCGGCGGGGGGCGCTGAGGAGATCTGGGGGGCGCGGAACTGGGTCACCCCCACCCGACCGCCCCCTCACAAAGGCCCCCGGGGAGGCCGCCCGCAGGCCCAGCAGCCCCGGCCTCGAGTGCCCGCCTCGACCGTCACTCACCGCTAGGTCCTGGGGCACCGCCCCGCTCATGGCCCGCACCGTGCCAGCCCGCCAGGCCCGAGTGCGCAGCGCAGGCCCGGGATCTCCGCTCGCCGCCACCGCCGCCGCCGCCCCGGGGACCGAGGCCGAGGCCGAGGCCGCGGTGTCCGCGAAGAGAAGCAGCAGCCGCTTGCCCACTGGGGAGGCCGCCGCGTCCGCCATCGCCAGGCCCGGCCAGACCCGCGCTCCCGCCCGCCGCCTCCCACCACCTCCGCCGCCGAGCGCCCGATCCGCCCGCAAGGCCTCCCTCCGCACCACCCGCGGCCGCGGCTCCCCCCCACCCCCCTCCAACAGCCACCGGCGCCGCGCAGCGCCCCCCGTGGCCGGGAGCGGAGCCGCAGCCCGGGCCCCGCACAGCGCCCCCCGCGCTCCGGAGTGGGGCGGCAGCTCCGGGCCCCTCGCAGCGCTCCGCCCCAACCTCCCTGGGGCCTGCAGTGCCCCCTGCGGCAGGGAGGAGAATTGCAGCTTCGGCTGGGGTAGGGAAGTGGGCGTGTCCTTCAGTCCCCCAGGGCACCATCCTGGTCCCAACTTTCCTCAGTGGGTACCCCATCTGAGGCGGCCTTAGCTTGCCTCACATGGACACCAAAGATTTTTACTGGGGTGGCGGGGCTGAGGGGCAAGGTACTTAGACAGTTGGGTATTTTGAGCTAAATAGTTAACACACCAATACCCTATTGATTTCCTATCCTGAATATATGTACCAGTCTTCCTGTCATCTTGTAGGAGATTCTCCCTGTTGGTCCATGGGACACAGTATCTTTCTTCTCACTGGTCCACCCCATTCTATACTACCAGTACTTCATAGACTCCTTTCCAATTGACCAGTATGCAACATCCATTGGGCGTGATAACTACCACTCTTTCCACTGGCTAAAGGCCAACATGCTTCCAACATCCTGGTTTTGACTTAAACCCATGGAGTGTCTTCCCCTTCCAAGTCTGTCAATGTTAATAGGTCCAGCTGTTTCTCAATTCAACTTTTAGGGGAACTGGAAAGAAACTAGGAGTAAAGAGTATTTTCTCTGGTACAGGAGCATTTCATCTTACCACAAAAGTAGTAGGGCTGGAGGCAAAGAAAACCCTGCCACTCCTCTATCTTAAGTTCATTTAATATAGGCATGGGAGATTGATAGCTCCTGTCAGAAAAGGGGCTATAGAGAAGGAGAGATACTGATTTTTTTTGCCTAGATTATTCACATCAAGCAATGGGAAAATCTCAAATCATTAATGTTGGTAATGTCAGATACTGAGTATATTAATGAGAACAGATACAAACCAGAAAGATAAAGCATCTAGAAATAATCCATGACTGTTACCCAAAAGTGGCCATTTCTTTCACTCATCTGGTCTACAGACAGGAAAGAATAGTGGGTGGTTCTTTCTTCAAGACTTAATGTACCTACCTAGTTGTCTCCCATCAATAGCCTTTTCTTTACCCTTGACACTTCTTGTAGCAAACGTTGGGAATGGAGATGGGGGTGGGCACCAACTATTGAGTTTAGTAAAAGTACAAAACATCTAGAGAGGTTATTCTAGAGCCAACCCTGTGGAGCACACCAAGGCAACATTTTGACTTTTTTTCTCCATATTCCTTGGGACTTGTATCTCCCATAGCTAACCTGAGGGTTGGATTCAGAATGCTTTCCTGGGTCGAGACACATCTCCTAAAGCATGTGGCTCACAAGTTATAGCTGGTAGGAGAGGAAAAGGGAGAATCCATAAGGGACTTAGCAGCTTTGCAGCTATCCTATTGAAATTCACTGCTAGGATTTTCTCCCATATGGAGTTTGAAGTACTGCCCCAGTGTCCAAAGCTGGCTTCTCCCAGCATCATAGAAAGAAGTGTGTCTAAGCTCAGGGATGGGAAGGCAAAGATGAGAAACTCATTCAACAAATATGACAGGGACTTTCCATGTGCCAGTAATTTTTCGAAGTGTTGGGGGCACAAAACTGAATAAAAACCCTTTGCCTCATGATGGAGTTTACATTCTTTCCTATACTAGCAGGATACTTGGCATCACAGAAAATAAACAGTAGAAAAACTTTAAAAAAATGAACAGATAGGAAAGGGTGGGAGGGAACCCTTTAAATGTTCAAACTTTACCCCTGCTCAAACAGGTGAAAAAAGCAGTTTTGAAGAAAAAACTGTTAATTATAAGTTTAACCATATGTCATTGCCCCACTGCCGCCCACCCCCCAACTGCCCCTCAAACACCTTTTGTTTCCAAGGCAGGTCACAACCCTCTTTTTAGAGTGTATTTTCATCCCCTCAAAGGTTCCTGCTCCAGGTAGTCAAGCCAATCCTGTCCTCTTGCATACTTCATTGGTATTCAGTGCGGAGTGTCACCAATTTGAAGCAGGAACCTGGGATGGAGGCTAAGCAATTTGACTCTTCTTACCACCTGGCAAGCCAACACCACAACTGGTAAAGAACGGCTATGCCTTAGGGACAGAGGCTCCTGCCTGGATCTCTAAGCAACTACACCTCATCCATACAAATTGGAAGAATGCTAACATAGGGAGAAGGGAGGAATAAAAAGGTCTAGAGAGAGACAGTGAGCTGGTTTCTTTCAACAAACGAACATTCCATATTAAAGCATCAGGGAAAATACCACCTTTCAGGGCAAAAGAGAAACTCTGCTATTAGGGTAATTTTCTAAAAGCAGTATTTTTAGGATGGAGAAATGGCCTAGGTCTTTGGAATCTGAATTCTGATGACAATCTCCCAACTCTCCAGGATAAAACATGTGAAAACTTAAGATTCCTGATCAAGTCTCTCTTCCTGTCTTCTCCCCCCTTTCAAAAGCCTACAAACCAATCTATGCAAGTTCTTGACTACACCATCAAGCATTTTTCAGAGAACTAGAATGTATTAATCCTTGACTTCAACCTGCTAGAAGTGAGACTGACTATAAGAGGAGACAGGTATAGTTAAGTACCAGAGAAACGGAGACCATATTAGACTGCCAGAAATAACCAGATCATAACAGAAACCTGGACCGTAAGACAGGACTGCTGTGGTGACAGAGGGCCTAGGGACAAGGTACTGTTCTGGAAGGGCAAAGACCCAGCCATGTCCTGAAGGAAGAGGCCTTCTCCTTGCTTCCTCACTGCCCTTCTTAGTGAGGAAGGGGAGAAGACACTGTAGTACACAAAGTTGCTTGGGAAAATGTATTATTCTAATAAAACTTTATTTTTTCAAACACAGCCACAGAGGCAGGACCTCATGTTTAACACACACAGACTTATGGATTTTTTTTAATATAAAACAAAGTTTACGAAAAGTTTTTTTCCACTTTTTTGTATTTGTAATCCCATTAGCACAGGGACTTTGGCAGCAGGTGGGAGTGAAGGGCAGCTGGAGCTGCCACTGGGCAGTCACCGGGCACAGGAGGAGAGCACCAGCCTGGGAGTGGCTTCACTCACACACGCAGGAATACTCACCTACTGGTCAGCCACACCACACACACAACACAGATGCAGATGTCTACCCAGCATCGACCACAGCCCTGGAGGGGCATGCTCAACTCTGGGTAAGTCCAATATGTGAAAAATCCAAAGAGTCAAAACAGCTAAAGTAGAGGGAGGTTGCTTGCTTTACAAAAGCAGCAATCACAGGTCAGCAGTCCAAATGCATCGAAAAATCGCATTTGGTTTACACAGAACTGTTGAAACAGATCTATTGTGTAAAACAAAATGAACCACCTTCTTGAAAAGGCATGTCCCAGGGCCACGGGTGCTTAGACTGGGAAGCAAGATGAAAGTTCCAACTAGTTAAACTTTCCAGATCTTAAAGTAATGGAGATATGGTATCTGGAGAACTTCTCCTCTAAAAATGGGGCCTGAGGGCTTTGAGGAAGCCAGAATGGAGGCAGAATTATTGCCCTTACTTCTTCAGCTAAGTGCCTATGGAACCCCATTGGCACTGTTGGTGGCCTACTGGAAACTGGCTAAGCCAATCTCCAGCAGATAGCCCAGTGCAGTGACGAGGGTGTCACAGAGGGGAAAGAAGCTGGCACCAGAGAAATTATGGCCTAAAGAGGGAGAGGAGCCAGGGTAGGGATGAAACCAAGGATGGGACACTCCTGGGCTCACTGCCTTGGATTCTCCAGAGAGCCTCTCTCAGGCCCCTTACAAACCTGGTAGCTCAACGGTATTAAAGGTAACTGGGAGAAGGGGAGCCTGGTAGAGGCTTGAATAGAAATGGCCATCTCCCTGGAGTAGAGGCTAGGAGGCTGGAGCCTCACTGACACTCCTGACACGTGGGAGACCCAGAAAATGACAGGTTCAATTCCATACGGAAGAAAACATAGACTCCTTCCCTGACATGAGGAACTGGGTCCCAAGTCCCCCTGGAAATGGAAGAGAAAAATACCTCTCTTCAAGAAGGGCAGGTCCAATTTGGTCGTGAGGTCTAACCAAAGCTGGATAAAGCCTCATAAACTATTGTGGTGGCAGCTTCAGTGTGCATCCCCACTGCTGAGAGTTCTACCAAGGCTACTGCAGTTCCTAAACCCATCACTGTGGCCACTGGGACCTGCTGCTCTGGCTCAAGTTGTGGGTAAGACACGAAAAAGGAAACTCAGTCCAACAACAACGAGGAGCTCCCAGCTGCTTCTCCCAGCCTTTCCCTCCCCGTAGCCAATCCCTCAGTGAGCCCCGACCTCCATGAGGTCTCTCAGGGCCAATTAGAGGCAAACAAACATTTCCTGGCAGGAGTGGAAGACAAGCCAACTACTAAATGCTGACATCCCCTTCCTTTTTCTCAAGCCAGTCAGAAAAGAGGCTGGGCCTCAATCTTATGACAGTAGGTTTCCCTACAGTTTGCTTCCAAAGGGCAGTGCTGGGGTGGGCTTACCCATGCCTGCTGGGGACTGGATGCTGCGAAATAGGTTCTGGGTATCAATATTGGGCCTTTCTTCCTTGTTCTTAACCCTTGGAGGTCAGAGGGCAAGGGGGAAAGGTCCCATCAGTAGGGAGGGAAAGAAAGGGATGGAGCCCTTCAATTCTGCTTTCAGTTCTCCACATGTGCTTGTATCTACTTAGAAAGCGACAGGCCGCTGTACACAGCCTAGGCAAACTATGAGAAGGAAAGGCCAGCTCGGAACCAATGTGCAGAGATCTCTTCAGCCCCCAATACAAGGTCTACGGGGTGGGGTGGAGTGGGGTTGTGGGGGTGGGGAAATGCTGATAAAAGACTCTTAGCTGAGGTCACAGGGCTTAAAAGACCCTCCTGTACCCCAAAAGAGAATCTTTGACGGGGACAGGGATGTTTATGGATTACAAGTCTGGTTCTGGAGCTACTTACAAAAAAAAAAGAAAAACTTGGTGCTCTCCTTTTGACTGCTTGAACAAGCCTGCTATCCCATGAAAACCCAAAATCCTGGGGGGTGTCGTGATGCTCTGTTAAGGAGCAATGCTTTCCTTCCCTAAGGCTATACAAACACACCTTTCAAGTACACTCCCATGCACACACACACACTCTCACACAATTTCTCCAAGGAGGCTGAATGAACCCCCCACCCTGGCCAAATTCTAAGACACAAGTGCCCTTTGAAGCAAAGGGGCTGGTGAAATTCCCCGAGCTGGGGCCAGCAGACCCCTTCCTGCCCTGCCCATTGCCTTTTCGGGGGCAGGGATACTCACACTCAGGGCCGCCATGGGAGGGTCTGCTCTGGGGCCGTCCCTCCCGCCACCAGCTCCGTTTATCTTGTCCTGGCCAGTCTCTTGGCATGGTTGAACTTCCTGGAGCGAGAAGATTTCCGGCTGCCCTGAGTCAGAGCCCTCCACTCACCCCCATTACCAGGCTGGGCCCCCAGCCTTGGGGCCTCGACACTTGTTAGTAGCCATAAGAGTCAGTCTGTGTGGCCCCAGGAAGTAGCCTCTCAGTTTTAATTCTCTTCAATCAGATTCAAGTCCAGGTCCCCGAAGTCCTGCTGGCACAGTGTCCGCTTGCTCAGCGCCTGCCGCCCCCACCGCACAGCCCCCTCCTCCTCCTCTTCGCTTTCACTCAGCACCTGGGAGGAACCCCCAATGGGGCTGCAGGAAGCAGAGAGGGGTGGGGGGCTACAGGCCATGAACCACGGCGGAGAGATGCTGCTGCCTTCCCAGGCTGTCCCTTGGAGACAGACACCTCCTGCACCTCCTGAGTATGGTTTCTGTCAAGTAAACAACAAAGTTAAAGAGGCAAAGAAAGATGCTCACTTGCCAAAGCACCTTGACCCGAGCTTTCACTTTGTATTTCAAAGTGTCCCTCTTTGTTCCCCTTGAAGGCAGGAGGATGAGGTTTGTGGACTCCCTAATAAAACTTAAAGATTTCAGCATACATGCACATTTCTTTGGGAAAAGAGCCCATAGTTTCTATCAGATTTAAGTTTAGAAACTTGTTTAGAAGCTTCATGTGGGCAGGAATATTGTCTGAGCCTGATACATCACAGGTGTTCAATAATGCCTACTGGTTGGTATGAACGACTCTATGCATTAGTTCTTCACGAGCTTTGTAACCCAGTGTTCTAGAAGGAACATAAAAAAAGTAGCCAAGTGCACAGAACAACTGCATTCACACTGGGAGGTCAAAAAACATTCGTTGAACAGGTGAGTGATGCAGCGGACTTCACAGACCCACCAGTGAAGGGCAAGTGACAAAACCAGCCTTCAGCACAAAGACGGACAGGGCCCTGATGAATGTACTTTTGGGGTTTACACATTCTCAGAGAGGAGAAACAGTGCCTTTAGCAGGACAGTCTGGGGTCCCTGTTGGAAGGGTTAACATGGGTCTCACCCCATTTTCTCTGGAACCCCTTGGACTGAGGAGTCTCACAGGACACAGCAACTTCAGTGCAAAAACTGGGGAAGTTCTGGGCAAAGCAGATCGCCCTAGTGAAGGCTCAAATAAGAGAGTCCAGGGAAGGCCCTGCCGAGGGGGCCTGGAGCTAGAAGACAGCTCAAATATGAAACAGAGTTGAATCCCCAGACTCCCACCCAAGCTTCCCTAGTCCTACTGGTCCCACCTGATTCATCTTGTCAAAGTCCAAGGAAGGCCGAAGCCGCCGGGGGTCCTCCTCGTGGCGCCGCTTGACCCCAGCCTTTCGGGCATCCAGATCACAGGGCTGCGAGCGGCTTCGGGGAAGACTGCGGAGGCCTCGAGGTCTCCAAGGTAGCTCTGGGGAGGAGGCGGGGGAGCTCCGGGCAGAGGGCAAGAAGCGGCTTGCTTGTGGGCCCAGGCTGGGTGACAGGGAGAAGCGGCGCTGGGGCGGGCAAGGCGACAGAGACTCGGCATCACTCTCCCAGGAGCCACTCTGGGGGGAGGCAGCGCAGGGTCGAGAGGAATCTTGGGCCAGGGCCAAGCTGAAGAAAGGGGGGCTGTAGGGTCTGTGGGCTGGGGCACATTGAGAAGAGGCACTGGGAGCTTGGAGGAACCTGAGGCTGGAAACCCGCTTTGGGGGGCTCTGGTGAGGCACCTGCGACCCACCCCCTCCACCACTGCCCCGGTGCTTGATGGGAGTCCACAGCTTGGAGGGGGCGGGCCGCCACACCGGCTGCCAGCGAGACAGGTCCACGGGCACTGAGAGTGAGCGGCAGTGCCTCTTGGATGGTGGGGCAGGGGGCACAGGAAGCTTCTCTGGGTCTGGGGGCTCAGGACTTAGGACTTGGGACAGGGGCTGCTCCTGTGGAGAACCTCCCGGGCTGGGTAGTCGGAGCTGCAGGCTCAAGCCTGAGGGGTGGTAGCTGAGGTTGAGGCTGTCCTGGAACTCGGCACAGGAACAGTGGGGCAGGCCCCTCCAGGAAGCACCTTCTGCAAGCCATGCATAATAAGAATAGTATTAATGATAGCTAATATAATTTTAAGAGCTTACTATGTGCCACACAATGTAACGAATACTTTACGTGAGGTTTCCCCAAAATCTCAAGAAGTAGGTACTGTCATTATCTCTATTTCACAGATGAGAAGCCTAGTAATTTGCCTAGTGTCACGTAGGAATCAAATGACGAAAGCAGGAGTCAGGCTCAGATCTGTCTAATGCTAAGGCTACATCTTTTAACCACTAGGCTATACTGCCTCCATTATGAGGAACACTTTGACATTGAAAGTATAGTCTCATATACCGCCTGCCACTCCTCCTCACCAGCAGAACGGGTCAAGAGCAACAAACACATGTGGACCCTGCTCCTGCTCATCCCTCTTCCATCCCACCCAGCCCTACATTGCTCCCCCACCTCCCAGCCCTAGGCTGTGAAATGCAGGCTATGTTTTCCTTCCTTGGCCATTCCACTTCCTACGTGTCAACAGGCCAAGATGGGCGTTAGGGTTGTCAAGGAGTTAAGAGGTTATCAAGCAGAGAGATCATTTTTACTCCTAGTGAGGGCAAACAGGTGGCAAAGACCTTTGATGGTGGAAACCTTAAGACCGCTTGTGTTCCTTTGGTCTGCCACTCACCAGGAAACGCTCAACATAACATACTAGTATGGGAAGATATTGCAGCTATATTACAGTTGAGTAAATTTTTAAGAAGTACCAACTAACTTACATAGCATGCAACCCTTTGTAGGAATAAAAAACATTTGTATTTGCTTCTATTTGTATAAAGAAACTCTGGTTGGATAAATAAGAAACTAGTAACAGGAGTTACTTTTAAGGAGGTGGTGGGAGCTGGGTGGAAAGGAGACAGGGAAGAAAGGGAGACTTTTCTCAGTATCATCTTTTTGCTGTTTAAAAATTTTTGAACTATGTGAAATGTATTATTTGTTCAAAAAAATTAGGTTATGAAAGTCTCCACAAGGCTAGAATAAAAGCAAACTAAACAGGTAACTTCCATGCTGATGCAAGCAAAATGGAGACAAGCGCCAATCTCAGGAGACCCCAGCAAGAAGCTGTAGAGGTAGGCTAGCTAGTTCTGGTCACTGGGAGCCAGTGAAACAAATATATGGACGAGAACATGGGCATACGTATATATACACAAATACACACCCCACACCTTACCAGACACAAGCTGGAAAGGATTCCCACAGTTGGAGATGTCTGCATGATCGGGCAAAGGCTGAGAGAGAGAGAGAGACTCTGTCATCGTTCAGGTTCAGGACACAGAATTTCCAGGAAGCCATGTTCACCTCACCCCTGCAAATCACGGGCTATAGGGATGTTAGGGACTTGCGCGTGTTCTCTTCTTGTTGTCTTCCCAATGTTAGTGGGTAAAATAATCCACAACTTCCAACGTCTCAAACCCTTCTCCACCCAACTTCTTGTGTCCCTTCTCTACCAGTGGAAAAACGCCTGCCCCCTTCCTTTTGGGCTGGGTTTCGAGCCTTTAGTGGCTCTTCCAGTACAAGTACCATGACTCACACAGCACAGGACAAGGGTGAAGTAGCAATAAACAGCCTCAGAAAAAAGGGGGAGAGGGCTGTGGAGAAGCAGGAAGACTGGTCTTTTACCAGACTGATGCTGAAGCGTGTGCATTTCAGCTCATCCAGAGTCTGCTTCTGCAGCTGCTCAGTGATCAGGGTTATCATGATTCTCCCCAGGATCTGACTTGCACACTTTGGAGCAAATGATGGATGTCTTCCCTGTCGTTCTTCGAGACCTCACTCGTGAGCCGTCTTCTGCCACTGCAGCACCATTCTAGCACCATTGGGACTTCCCTCTCCAGTCATGCCTGCTGAGTCTGCCAATTACAGAGGGTCCAGCCCCAAGTGACATTAGAGATGTACCTGGTCCAGAAGTGGAAAACGTATGGCACACATACCACAGCATCCTTATGCCAGGCCTCTGGCAGACATCATTAATTGATCATAGCTCTTTTCTGCTAAGCCTAAACAGAGCCTCAGAAACATTCTGATCTTGGCTCTCCAGATAACCAGTAAAATGAACTGGAGTTGGCAAGCAAGGTGAAACCTATTTGCCACTCCTAACCTTGTTTATGCTTTGCTCTGTCTACCCAGAATACTAGCAGCACTTAAAAAACAGCTCAAGTGGGAGAGGGATGCCCAAATGGTTACTTCCATCTTGATTAGCCCAGTATTTTATCTTCCAGCAGGAAGCAGAAGAGAGGTACCCTTTTCCTAAACTACACAAAACGGTAATAGGGAACAGGGAGAAGCAGTGGTTGTAGGAATGACTTTCTGCTTCAGGCCAACCAGAACAACACGCTTTTATGTTTTCCCTTAGCCTGAACAGCTGATATATTATTGTTTTCCAACAGATAATAAATGTATTCTCCTATGAAGTGGTAAGAGGATAGGGAAATGGTACCAGGATAATTCCAATTACATTTCAACTCTATAGATGTTAAAAAACAACTTTGTGACTTCATTTCACTAAGTTTGTGGCCTAACCCGACCCAAAGAGCATAATTAATCAAGACTCCTGGTCAATTTTAGTAGAAGCAAGCCAATTCTATCAGAGAACAGGCTTCAAGCCCACACAATTGCCTGAGAGGCCCTGCTCAAGGGAGGAGGGGGAGATTAACCCACTGCTTCCATACTGTTCTGCCTATTCCCAGAAATGACTAGTAGGCAGACAGCTCACCAGTAGAAAGGACAAACTATCAAGAAATCTAAATGACCCAGTTTGCTGCTACAGTTTTGGGAAATCATTTAACCTTTCTTGGCCTCAGTTTACCCATATGTAAAATGGGCAGAATGATCCCAACCTATCACAGGGACAACATAAGACAAAAGCATCAAAATGTAAAAGCATACCATCTGGCATGTACAAATCAGGAATCCACACAGACTGCCATTTCTCACCCCTCCTGTTTGCTGTTCTACCAACTCAGACTGTCACAAATGATGATATCATTAAGGTGAAGAAGGCAATTGGTTTTTCTATTTGATTGAATACCAACGTCCCTCACCTACATAGGGAGGGAAGCCCAAAAAGGCTCTTCTGTGACTTTGTGGGCAGAACACCTCCTACATTTGCAAAGAAGGGAATCATCTCTACCCCATTCCCACCTCAGAGGAGGCAGGCCACCATGAAGAGCAAAGAAAGACACGTGGATGTACCTGGAGTATTTTGGAAAAAGGTGTAGGAGAAGTTAATCATTATAGTCAACTATCCTTTTAAGGTGTAATTATTACCACCCTGAATGAAGTTCCAGCGTCCTGAGAGCTCCCTTCAGCTGCTTCCACTACGTTGTGGGAGAAGCTAAAGCTTCTATTGCTTCTGCTCTTGGATTCTTAACACTGCCCCCAAAGATCAACCAGAGAGGGAACCTAACTGCAGGCTTTTACTCCAGAGATCCCAGGCCTCAGGCTGACTAGCATGAGGAGCAAGGAGTGAAGCAAACTCTTTCAGGCTCCTCAAGAGGCATTTGGCCAAAGAGCAAACTCCCAGCCCTCTCTGGGATCAAGCAAAGAGAGTGATTTTGTGTTTTTCTGCATTTTAATTGTTGGGATGTGGCCACACACAGCGGTAATTGGAACAATGCAACTACCACCAAGCAGCTGATACTCTCAGCCTGAGTTTCCTAAAACAGGCCAGGCTGAGAGGGGGAATAGAACGGAAGCCATAAGGAATCAAACCAGGACACAAAAGAAGGCAAACCAGCTCCACGAGGGGCCTCCTCTTTCCCAGGCAGGCATAGAAAAAAGTGTAAGAAACCCTCTTTTGCCGCCTTCCTTCCCCTTCCATTTTGTGTATCTGAGGAACAGAGACAGCCCTGAACGTTCACTAAACAAGTTAAAACTTCTCAGCTTAACAACTAGCACGGGGTTCAACCCTTCACAGAGCAGCAGGCCGCTAGGCCCTCCCCACAACCCCACCAGGCCTGATTCTCAATCCAGGCTTTCCCTCCACCATAGGCCCCCTGAAAGAGAAATTGGACCCCCACTCTATCTCCTATTGGATGGCAGTTGGCCCTGACATTCGGGTTTCAGGGATGCTGAGGTCGTGCCGAAACCTGCAAAACCTAGGAGCCAAGTCAGGCCAAAGGGGAGGAGAACCACAAATCCCCTGGAAACCTTCCCTCCAGGTCCCAACCCCACACCTCTGGGGGTAGACTTAAGGAAAACATGAGGGAGGCAGGGAGGTGCATGAACAGGTAAGTGAGGACATGACTGCTCCTCCTCCATATGGCTCTGGTGGGGATAGGAGTGACAAGTGGGGGCACCCCTCCCCCTACACCGATGAAGAAGCAAAAGGCTAGGCCCCCCCGACCCCCCAGTCTTCAACCTCTCCCTCCCTTGCCCTGCTTGTCCCCGCGGGGTGGGGCATGGAACGACCGCTGGCCCCTGGGGCGGGGTGGGGGGGGACCAGGCTGGGTGACAGGGAGAAGCGGCGCTGGGGCGGGCAAGGCGACAGAGACTCGGCATCACTCTCCCAGGAGCCACTCTGGGGGGAGGCAGCGCAGGGTCGAGAGGAATCTTGGGCCAGGGCCAAGCTGAAGAAAGGGGGGCTGTAGGGTCTGTGGGCTGGGGCACATTGAGAAGAGGCACTGGGAGCTTGGAGGAACCTGAGGCTGGAAACCCGCTTTGGGGGGCTCTGGTGAGGCACCTGCGACCCACCCCCTCCACCACTGCCCCGGTGCTTGATGGGAGTCCACAGCTTGGAGGGGGCGGGCCGCCACACCGGCTGCCAGCGAGACAGGTCCACGGGCACTGAGAGTGAGCGGCAGTGCCTCTTGGATGGTGGGGCAGGGGGCACAGGAAGCTTCTCTGGGTCTGGGGGCTCAGGACTTAGGACTTGGGACAGGGGCTGCTCCTGTGGAGAACCTCCCGGGCTGGGTAGTCGGAGCTGCAGGCTCAAGCCTGAGGGGTGGTAGCTGAGGTTGAGGCTGTCCTGGAACTCGGCACAGGAACAGTGGGGCAGGCCCCTCCAGGAAGCACCTTCTGCAAGCCATGCATAATAAGAATAGTATTAATGATAGCTAATATAATTTTAAGAGCTTACTATGTGCCACACAATGTAACGAATACTTTACGTGAGGTTTCCCCAAAATCTCAAGAAGTAGGTACTGTCATTATCTCTATTTCACAGATGAGAAGCCTAGTAATTTGCCTAGTGTCACGTAGGAATCAAATGACGAAAGCAGGAGTCAGGCTCAGATCTGTCTAATGCTAAGGCTACATCTTTTAACCACTAGGCTATACTGCCTCCATTATGAGGAACACTTTGACATTGAAAGTATAGTCTCATATACCGCCTGCCACTCCTCCTCACCAGCAGAACGGGTCAAGAGCAACAAACACATGTGGACCCTGCTCCTGCTCATCCCTCTTCCATCCCACCCAGCCCTACATTGCTCCCCCACCTCCCAGCCCTAGGCTGTGAAATGCAGGCTATGTTTTCCTTCCTTGGCCATTCCACTTCCTACGTGTCAACAGGCCAAGATGGGCGTTAGGGTTGTCAAGGAGTTAAGAGGTTATCAAGCAGAGAGATCATTTTTACTCCTAGTGAGGGCAAACAGGTGGCAAAGACCTTTGATGGTGGAAACCTTAAGACCGCTTGTGTTCCTTTGGTCTGCCACTCACCAGGAAACGCTCAACATAACATACTAGTATGGGAAGATATTGCAGCTATATTACAGTTGAGTAAATTTTTAAGAAGTACCAACTAACTTACATAGCATGCAACCCTTTGTAGGAATAAAAAACATTTGTATTTGCTTCTATTTGTATAAAGAAACTCTGGTTGGATAAATAAGAAACTAGTAACAGGAGTTACTTTTAAGGAGGTGGTGGGAGCTGGGTGGAAAGGAGACAGGGAAGAAAGGGAGACTTTTCTCAGTATCATCTTTTTGCTGTTTAAAAATTTTTGAACTATGTGAAATGTATTATTTGTTCAAAAAAATTAGGTTATGAAAGTCTCCACAAGGCTAGAATAAAAGCAAACTAAACAGGTAACTTCCATGCTGATGCAAGCAAAATGGAGACAAGCGCCAATCTCAGGAGACCCCAGCAAGAAGCTGTAGAGGTAGGCTAGCTAGTTCTGGTCACTGGGAGCCAGTGAAACAAATATATGGACGAGAACATGGGCATACGTATATATACACAAATACACACCCCACACCTTACCAGACACAAGCTGGAAAGGATTCCCACAGTTGGAGATGTCTGCATGATCGGGCAAAGGCTGAGAGAGAGAGAGAGACTCTGTCATCGTTCAGGTTCAGGACACAGAATTTCCAGGAAGCCATGTTCACCTCACCCCTGCAAATCACGGGCTATAGGGATGTTAGGGACTTGCGCGTGTTCTCTTCTTGTTGTCTTCCCAATGTTAGTGGGTAAAATAATCCACAACTTCCAACGTCTCAAACCCTTCTCCACCCAACTTCTTGTGTCCCTTCTCTACCAGTGGAAAAACGCCTGCCCCCTTCCTTTTGGGCTGGGTTTCGAGCCTTTAGTGGCTCTTCCAGTACAAGTACCATGACTCACACAGCACAGGACAAGGGTGAAGTAGCAATAAACAGCCTCAGAAAAAAGGGGGAGAGGGCTGTGGAGAAGCAGGAAGACTGGTCTTTTACCAGACTGATGCTGAAGCGTGTGCATTTCAGCTCATCCAGAGTCTGCTTCTGCAGCTGCTCAGTGATCAGGGTTATCATGATTCTCCCCAGGATCTGACTTGCACACTTTGGAGCAAATGATGGATGTCTTCCCTGTCGTTCTTCGAGACCTCACTCGTGAGCCGTCTTCTGCCACTGCAGCACCATTCTAGCACCATTGGGACTTCCCTCTCCAGTCATGCCTGCTGAGTCTGCCAATTACAGAGGGTCCAGCCCCAAGTGACATTAGAGATGTACCTGGTCCAGAAGTGGAAAACGTATGGCACACATACCACAGCATCCTTATGCCAGGCCTCTGGCAGACATCATTAATTGATCATAGCTCTTTTCTGCTAAGCCTAAACAGAGCCTCAGAAACATTCTGATCTTGGCTCTCCAGATAACCAGTAAAATGAACTGGAGTTGGCAAGCAAGGTGAAACCTATTTGCCACTCCTAACCTTGTTTATGCTTTGCTCTGTCTACCCAGAATACTAGCAGCACTTAAAAAACAGCTCAAGTGGGAGAGGGATGCCCAAATGGTTACTTCCATCTTGATTAGCCCAGTATTTTATCTTCCAGCAGGAAGCAGAAGAGAGGTACCCTTTTCCTAAACTACACAAAACGGTAATAGGGAACAGGGAGAAGCAGTGGTTGTAGGAATGACTTTCTGCTTCAGGCCAACCAGAACAACACGCTTTTATGTTTTCCCTTAGCCTGAACAGCTGATATATTATTGTTTTCCAACAGATAATAAATGTATTCTCCTATGAAGTGGTAAGAGGATAGGGAAATGGTACCAGGATAATTCCAATTACATTTCAACTCTATAGATGTTAAAAAACAACTTTGTGACTTCATTTCACTAAGTTTGTGGCCTAACCCGACCCAAAGAGCATAATTAATCAAGACTCCTGGTCAATTTTAGTAGAAGCAAGCCAATTCTATCAGAGAACAGGCTTCAAGCCCACACAATTGCCTGAGAGGCCCTGCTCAAGGGAGGAGGGGGAGATTAACCCACTGCTTCCATACTGTTCTGCCTATTCCCAGAAATGACTAGTAGGCAGACAGCTCACCAGTAGAAAGGACAAACTATCAAGAAATCTAAATGACCCAGTTTGCTGCTACAGTTTTGGGAAATCATTTAACCTTTCTTGGCCTCAGTTTACCCATATGTAAAATGGGCAGAATGATCCCAACCTATCACAGGGACAACATAAGACAAAAGCATCAAAATGTAAAAGCATACCATCTGGCATGTACAAATCAGGAATCCACACAGACTGCCATTTCTCACCCCTCCTGTTTGCTGTTCTACCAACTCAGACTGTCACAAATGATGATATCATTAAGGTGAAGAAGGCAATTGGTTTTTCTATTTGATTGAATACCAACGTCCCTCACCTACATAGGGAGGGAAGCCCAAAAAGGCTCTTCTGTGACTTTGTGGGCAGAACACCTCCTACATTTGCAAAGAAGGGAATCATCTCTACCCCATTCCCACCTCAGAGGAGGCAGGCCACCATGAAGAGCAAAGAAAGACACGTGGATGTACCTGGAGTATTTTGGAAAAAGGTGTAGGAGAAGTTAATCATTATAGTCAACTATCCTTTTAAGGTGTAATTATTACCACCCTGAATGAAGTTCCAGCGTCCTGAGAGCTCCCTTCAGCTGCTTCCACTACGTTGTGGGAGAAGCTAAAGCTTCTATTGCTTCTGCTCTTGGATTCTTAACACTGCCCCCAAAGATCAACCAGAGAGGGAACCTAACTGCAGGCTTTTACTCCAGAGATCCCAGGCCTCAGGCTGACTAGCATGAGGAGCAAGGAGTGAAGCAAACTCTTTCAGGCTCCTCAAGAGGCATTTGGCCAAAGAGCAAACTCCCAGCCCTCTCTGGGATCAAGCAAAGAGAGTGATTTTGTGTTTTTCTGCATTTTAATTGTTGGGATGTGGCCACACACAGCGGTAATTGGAACAATGCAACTACCACCAAGCAGCTGATACTCTCAGCCTGAGTTTCCTAAAACAGGCCAGGCTGAGAGGGGGAATAGAACGGAAGCCATAAGGAATCAAACCAGGACACAAAAGAAGGCAAACCAGCTCCACGAGGGGCCTCCTCTTTCCCAGGCAGGCATAGAAAAAAGTGTAAGAAACCCTCTTTTGCCGCCTTCCTTCCCCTTCCATTTTGTGTATCTGAGGAACAGAGACAGCCCTGAACGTTCACTAAACAAGTTAAAACTTCTCAGCTTAACAACTAGCACGGGGTTCAACCCTTCACAGAGCAGCAGGCCGCTAGGCCCTCCCCACAACCCCACCAGGCCTGATTCTCAATCCAGGCTTTCCCTCCACCATAGGCCCCCTGAAAGAGAAATTGGACCCCCACTCTATCTCCTATTGGATGGCAGTTGGCCCTGACATTCGGGTTTCAGGGATGCTGAGGTCGTGCCGAAACCTGCAAAACCTAGGAGCCAAGTCAGGCCAAAGGGGAGGAGAACCACAAATCCCCTGGAAACCTTCCCTCCAGGTCCCAACCCCACACCTCTGGGGGTAGACTTAAGGAAAACATGAGGGAGGCAGGGAGGTGCATGAACAGGTAAGTGAGGACATGACTGCTCCTCCTCCATATGGCTCTGGTGGGGATAGGAGTGACAAGTGGGGGCACCCCTCCCCCTACACCGATGAAGAAGCAAAAGGCTAGGCCCCCCCGACCCCCCAGTCTTCAACCTCTCCCTCCCTTGCCCTGCTTGTCCCCGCGGGGTGGGGCATGGAACGACCGCTGGCCCCTGGGGCGGGGTGGGGGGGGCCACGAGGGCTCGCTCAGTGGTGCTACCACTCGCCTTTTCCCAACCAGCTTCCATCATCTGGCCGCGGGAAGCGAACTCGGGACGCAGGGGATGGAGAGGGTCTGGGACTTAGCACTCCGCCAACCCCTCCCCCATCGGGTCCCGTGCTCTCCCCGCGGAGGTGGCCAGCGACGCCGGGCCGCGCGGGCGGACGGACTGGGGGAAGGGAGAGAGGGAAAGAGGGAGGGACGGTCGAGGTACCCGCCCCGAGGCCCCAGCGCCACCTGCCCTCCGCCACCTACCGCGGCTCCTCCAACTCCCAGGGCCGCGGCCAGAGCAGCTCTGAGCGCTCCGTTCGCCCCACGGTGCCCTTAAAAGGCGCCGGCGTGAACCAACGGGCCCCAGAGGAGAGTGCGGGGATCGCGCCGGTTCGCAGAACCCCCCTGAGCCGCCAGCGGAGGCTCGAGCCCCGCGTCGTTTCTCTCTCAAGGTCTTTCTTGGACAGCGCTGTCGTGAACAAGCCCGGCTCTTCAATTCAGAAATGAAAGTGGTCTCCTCACTATCGAGTCACCCCCTCCAAAATATTGCAGAAGGTGGACAGGCCCAGTTGGAGGCATATCTCGAAATCCGCAGGGGAGGCCGTCTCGGACGAAGGTAAACAAAGCCGCCGCCCCTGTCCTCCATTCCTACATCGGCCCCAGTATAGCCCCCTACTCAGTTCGGGCCGCGTAATATAATTAGCCGAGGTTCCTCTCACCTGCTCTTCTGTCCCGCCCTCTACGGTTGCCCCTCCGAAGGGATCCCTCTTCCCCCCGCAGAGGGCCAGTCCGTGGCGTGAAGGCTTCTGGGAAGTGTAGTCCTAGCGCCGATTAAGGCCTTCTTTGAGTCCCAGGAGCCCCTCTTCCAGCTGCCCGATCGGCTAGCACCTTATAAACCCGGGATTTATAACGGTTGCGGCGCCGTTCCTACTTGGTTCCGTAATTAGCCCTCACCCAAAACACTGTAAAGCTGAGGAGGGCCCAAGGCTGTTCACCCCTTCTCCTCCCTCTACGCACCCCCCAACCCCAGCAGGATGAGGTAATGGGATTGTGATTATGACATCATAGGCGGTTCAGTTGCTTAGGGGTGGGGGTGGGGAGAGGCGGGGAGTATGGTGATTACAGCTTTCCTTAAAACGGACAGGGAGTGATGGAGAAAAGATGTTGGTGCTGTATTTCCTCTTCAGGAAGAGGAAACCACCTTTTATTAAATCTACCACTACCACCACCTCCCACCTCAACCAAGTTTGAAGTCCCTTTTGAAGATAACGAATATAGACGATAGTAGGGAAGAGGGTTGGGGAACAGCTAGATGGTTTCTGGCTCCTGTGTAAATTTGAGTATCAACTATCAGTGAAGGCTTAGAGAGACGGGCAAAAATGTAGAAGGAGAAGTTTTTAACCAATACCTTCGCGTTTTGACCACTTGTAGGGCAGAGTTTAAGATTTCTTTTTTAATTGATTGGAAAGTAGCAGTCTTGTGGGTAATCTTCACTATTAGACTTAGCAACAAGTCCCCTGAAAAACATCTGTTTTCTTTAAATATTTTGTGCCCCAGTCATGTCTGGGACAGATAAGTAACTGTCATCAGCTAGAAAGTAGAGCCAGTTGTAGGGATCTTCCTCACAGAGCCAGGGAAGTGGGGAGGCAGGAGCCATGAAGTCTGCAGACTGAAAAAGAAGAGTAGAGGGAAAATGAGGTATCAAGAAGATGGGGGTGGAGAGAAGATGCACTGCACACCTCCTTACCCTGCACATTTCCCCTTGGCGAAAGGAGGATCAGGGGCACAGGCCATAAGTTTAGGAGATATGGTTTCCAATAACTGCTGCTATGAGGCACTTATTATGTACCAGGTACCATACTGCACACTTTAAATGTATATTCTTGTTTTTGCTCACAATCATCAAATGAGACAATGCCTTGAGCAGCTGGAGAGGTTAAGTGACTGCCCATGTGGTGGCCAAAGGTAGAATTAAAAAATAGTCTGAGGCTCTAAAGCCTTTGGTCTTTGCCACTAGGTGATCTCCCTTTTTATTATTAACCATGCTTACTAAAGTTAAGTGATTAGGTATAAGAATTAACATTGTCTCATCTCCAAAACACTGAAAGACACTGAGACACTTAAAAAGAAAAGACCCCAAAACCCTGCAAGTCAGGATTCAGGTCTCATTTCAAAGGAAGATTACACCCTTTTCATCAAGTCTAAAATAGCCCCCAGTGTAGTTTAACCTCCCCTCAATTACTAAGTCTAATTAAATCTCCTTATACCACTTTTAGTTCTCAAGGTTTTTTTACTCAATTCCTGCAGTTTTTTCCTGCTACCCGATTTCCCTTCTTTGTTCTTGGGCTACTATCTTGAAGCCCACTTTAATTGTGATTTCAATGCGCCAGATCCCTCTGACCCTGCTCCAGCGGATTTCAGCAGAGGATACTACCTGGACTCCCTTCTGGTCTCCATCCAGATTCTCTGAGGGTTCCAGGGCCTGGAACCAGTCACCCAGGAGGCCATCCAATGGAGTGGAACCCATTGGCTGTAAGAGATATTCCATTCCCTGCCTAAAAAGGCAGCAGAGTCAGAAGAACATGCACCTCATTCAGACTCTCCCTTTTCAGCCAGTGAACGCTAAACCTCTCAAGGAGGGAACCAGGAATACAGCACAAACCCCTCAACTCCCCTGTCCTGCAGAGGCTGTCTGGGGGGGTCCCAGGAATGTAGGACTCTTCTCCACTGTCTGATCTGGGCATCCCAGGAGCGACGACTGTACTTCCTCTTCTTGTTTGGCGTTTGAGGGTGAAGTCCTGGCTGTCGTTGTGCCCTGCAATAACAAATGTGTGTCAGACTGAGGTCAAGGTGAAGGGGCACACTGCTTATCACAGTGAATCAGGAGACTCATTAGGGATTCCCTGAGAATGAGGTAGGATCAGTGCCCTCAATCCCATAGAAAAAGTAAATCTTCAAATCAGATTAAATACCTCCCTAATATTCTTTCTTCTGGGAAGGATAAATTAGATATTCCAACTTCCTCAGAAGTCAAGATAGACATAAGAGATAATATTTGACATCCCTTTAAAATACATTCTACCTTCTCATACATTTACTTTGTATGTGTGCATGTAATTAGGCAAGTAGGTTGCAATTAGCCAAATCAGCTGGAGGAATAAGTTAAAAATGGTTGGAAGGAAAAAACTTCATTAGCAAACATGGATAGAGATTTTAAAAGTCTTATGGAACAAGTATGATTTGTTTCATTTGAAAAAAATCTTGGAAGCTTATTTTTGAGGCTAGATTGCAGGAGAGTTAGTTTTAATAAGGCTTTAACTTTGTGAAAGCACTCAGACTTTACATCACTTGACAGTGAACCAAAGCCACTTGGTTGACACTCTTTTGATTACTCACAACAGCACTCACTTGGGGACCTGCTGCAGAAAGCACTGGTAACCAGGTGTGCGCTTGCCATAATCTATCTGCTTTTGCCGCCGCTGTAGAACAGTTTCATTTGTCTCTACCTCCCACCTGCAGGGAGGTAGACAGTGACCCCATGAAATGTGATTTTAGTGATCAAAGCAGAAACCACTTATCCCCCACTCCCTTAATAACCTTAAAAAGGTGATTTTCATACTCACCTGGCATGGTAGGGTTCTGTGCTTACTCCCACACTCACCATTTCTATCTTAGAGGAGAAAGGCTCTGCACACATCTCCTTTCTGGGGAAGCAGATTCTACAGATTAAAACGATACTAAGATAAAACCCAGCTGACTACACTGCACATGTCAGCCACTACCACCACCAATAACCTGACACCAGATAAAGGTGGTATTTCTGACTTACTGTTTCTCAAAGTGTGGTCTGCAAGCCATTAGCATAAGTAGCTCCTGCGAGCCATAATTCCTAGGCCCCACTCCAGACCGATTGAATCATTTTAGGGACTTGCATTTTAAAGAGATTCCAAGGTCATCTTAAATTTTTTTGTGTGTGTGGAAAATTTCAAATATACAGAGAAGTGAAGATAATAGTTTAAAGCTTTGCTACCAAAGTATGATCCCAAGACTGAGCACATCAGCAGCAGCTGAGATCTTGTTAGAAGTGCAGAATCTTGGGCTCCAACCCAGACCTACTGAATCAAAATCTGCATTTTAACAAGATCCCCAGGTGATTAATGTGCAAACATTAAGGGACTCCATTTACCCACGACGCAGTACTCACAGCCAGTCTTGTTTCATCTATACCCACCACCACTCCCACAGGATTATTTAAAGGCAAATCCCCACATTAAGAATAAATTCTTAATATCACCGAGTCAATGTTCAAATTTCCATAAACAACCAAAGTTTGGGACCCTTTGGACTGTGGTAAGGATTATGCCAAGAGATGATTCAGCCCCCCTACTTTCTCTGAAAAAGGAATTTCCCTTACTGCACATAACCTAGTGTCTCAAAGATGCTGCGCGCTAAGTGACACGAAACAGAAAGCTTTTAAAGGGTCACTGCTGCTCAGCATAAAAACACACCTGTTTCGCTCCAACATCTGCCACACCGGCGGCTAATTACTCCATCTCCAGCGGAAGGTTAGCAAAACTAAGATGGAAAGGTCCCCGTAACGACACGAGAAAGAAGCAAGAAAAGAGAAGCGTTTAAAACATCCTTCCACCCAAACGAGTCTCTCCAAGTACTGTCCTAATGAGTGGTCGTTGCTAGTGAAGTGCAATTTAAATCTCCCGGGGTTAGAGGGGACTGAGGGATGGGAAAGCTCAGGAAGGGTGTGGCGATTGGCCAGAGGGAAAGCCAATGGTGCTCCAGACTCCCTGTGGGGCGGGGCTTATCTTTAGCTGCCTGTCGAACGCGGATAGGCCAATCGGCACCCTGTTCTGGCTGCGGGGCGGGACAAATCGTGCCTCTTGCAGAGATAGCGCACGCCGGGGGTGATATACGAGCCAAACGATTGGCCGAGGGAGTCTGGGCGGGCCCGCGGAGATAGGCTGACTCGGCCTGGCGGCCAGCGGGATAGGTTTTTGGGAAGGCGGAAGGTTTGAATGGTCAAGGCCAGTAGCTGCTGGTAATCTTGAGTAACGTCTGTCCTTCACGGAGAGAGAAACGAAGCCCGACGCCCGCCTACCCTGTCGAGAAGCAGAAGTGTAGTCTGGTTAGTTGCCTCCTTTCCCCAGATTTTCTTTAATTCAGCTGAGTCTTCGATTGTGACTGATCCCACCCACTTCCCTTTCTCCTGAAGGTAAATTTCAGACTCAAACCGAGGTAAGTCCCCTCAGGCTCCAGTCGGAGGCACACAAACGGAACTTTAGGGAACCTAATAGGTATCGCGAGTTAGGAAACTTGAATTCCTTCTGGTCGGTAATCACGAGCTGTGTAGCCCCAAGCAAGTCAAAGCCCTCTTTTCATTTCCACTTTAAGGTCTCGGTAAGTCCAGGTTCCGAAGAAAAGGCCAAACAGCTTCGGACAAGTGCGATTTAACTTTCAAGCGGGGTTGCGACTCACCGTTTGAAGATGCCGCTCCAAGACGGATCCACCTGACCGCCGCTGGGAAGGGCGGAGGAGCTTGTGAAAGCTGTGCCTACGCAGGTGACGTTCTCCTCTTAGCCAAGTTTTTTTTTTTTCTTAGAAGTCGGAGACCATGTCTGCAGAACTCTGTTCATCCACAAGAAAGGAGGGAAAACCTGGCTCAGGACCCAGTTTTAGGTCTACTCAGAGGAAGATATTAAACCAGCTCCTGGAGAGAGAAACTTCCTTCACGATGTGTCCCGATCTCTCTAGAACTCTAGTGGACAAACTCTTTTGTGATTCTGCAAACCTAAGCATTTCGTCTGGGTAAATCCACTTTTTTCTTCATACCTTATCTTCTTTGCTTTTCAAAACAGTTTTTTGGTTGTTTGTTTTTGAAAAATTATCCTGGCTCAAAGATGAGGGTTTAAGTCTTAACTCTGCCCTTGACTAACCCTGTGACCCTTTTGAGTCTCAGGCTGCCGCTTCTCTGTGACAATAATGTCTTCCTGTCTTACTAGTATCTTCTGACAACCAAATGATGTGATTTCTGGGAAAAGTCTTAGAAAACTATCACATTAGAAGAGTTTGTCACTGTATTAGTATTAATATTGTACTTTAAATTCTAATCATGTCATGGCCTGATGCTTCAACTAGCAAACAAAGTTGAAGAGTTATAGATCTGAAAAGTACTAGATACTCCAGGGAGAAATCAAATCTGTATGCTCATGGTGCGCAGGACAGAAGATGAGGGATCAAGACCCACCTTTGTCAATAAACTTTGGTCGTCAATAAAAAAAAATTGACTCTGTCTCGGTATGTTGGTGATGAGAAAATGAGGTGTAGATTATTGAAGTAGAGAAAGGGAAGATTTTTCTCAGCCTAGTCTGAAATATTTCCAAAAAGCAATTAGATTTATTTGGACACTGTTTCGATTATGTAATAGTGAGGGGGTGGGGGGTTCAAATGAAAAAGATAACGTGAGCTTTGCCTTTTTTAGGATGTTACAGCCTAATGGGAATCTTGATGTACTATGTCTCAACAGAGGAACCCCCAAACGTTGCCTTGATCTTTCGAATCTTAGCAGTGGAGAGATGTCTGCCACTCCGCTTACCACTTCTACAGACTTTGATGAGACTGGTAGGGAGAAAGGAGGTAAAGTCCTCAAGGGAAATAACTTTTAAGGAAGAGGAGAGGGTAGTAAGATAGAGGTGGAAGGTGGTAAAAGTAAGTAGAGAGCCTTGAAGTTGGAATTCTGTGGGTACCTAGGGCATTTTTGAAGAGAATGATTAAATATTGTTACTATAATAAGAGTAGGAGTGGCTTTGCATTTGAAAAATGTAGACAGGAAGGAATATTTTATTTTGTTGGCCAATGGTGGGAATTAAGGTAGTAATTAACTTGAGAAGTTTATGCCCCAGTCTAATCTCTGCGGAGGCAAAGAAACCAACATAAAAAGAAATACTTTGTCAACTAATTCTTGCATATGTAGAGTCTGAGCCCAAAAGGAATATGTTTTACTAGTCAACCATTTTAGTATTTTTTTCTAGTTTCAGATTTCCTCAGTGGTAAGCATCCTTTTCCACTCTTGAAAAAAATCTCTGTAGGTTAGTGTAGCTATTTCCCAGCATTTTTTCTTTTAGTCACACATGTAAATTCTTCACTTTTCATGAACTTATACCTTGTACCAGGTACTTTGTACATGAAATTGGTATATATCAAGAGCCTTTGTGTTCAAAAGGTCAGCTTTTGAAATTAATATGGCTTACTGGTAATGAAGAAAATCAGAGGGTAAGACAGGATGCATGGACAAGAATAATTCTTCATATCCAATTGCAGGTCACTTGGATTCTTCAGGACCTCAGGAAATACAGTTAGTTGGGAAGTAAGTTTGTTAAATGAACCCTATGCTAAAGTTTTCAGCCCTGGCATGGGGATTTTATCTTATGCAGACTGCAGAATATAAGATGTTTCATTTTGGGTATAAGTGTGATTGGAGGCTTACTTCCTTTCCTTGAAAGGTTTTTTAAGTTTCCCAGATCTAAATAGTGTTGTGAAAATGAAGGCTATTCATTTTAACCATAACACAGTAATTACATATTATATATTATAACATTATATATATATATATGGTTATGCAGGTGAATTAGGGCCTTGTCTCCAGGATGTTGCTCAACATCTTAACATTTATCACAGAGAGCACCTTGCATAGTGTTATTGGAAGAGACATATCAACTAGGTATAGGGCTCCCAGAATGGAAGAAAAGAATAGTTGGGATGTCCGTAGAATAACCACTGAATAGCCAAACAGTGTTTGGGGCTTAGCTGACTGGCAGTTTTTTTTGATCTGCAGGAATCATTACCAGCACCTTACAAAATGCAGCCCAGTGAGTAGCTCCTCTATCTTGGATTTGGGTTTGATTCTCAGGTGGGAGGCAGAGGCTTCTTTCCAGCTCAGCTGTGGCTGCGAGATGCTGCTTGTTCTTAGAAAACCATCTTTTGTAGGCACATCTGCTTTGTAGCACTCCAAATGCTTTGGACCACGGCAACAGGAAAGAAGATGCAATATGTAACTCATCCGCAAATAAAGAGAATGTGAGTGTTTAATGGAAATCTAGATACATTAGCAGTTTTCTTCCTTCCAGTAGAGCAACTCATCAGTATCATTTTGAGACCTAGAACCATTTATGCCTCAGTATGCTAGGTAAGTAAGCTGTATCACTCTCGGAAAAAAATTCTTTATGGTTTGTTTTGCTTTGTTTCTCTTTAGGGTTTGACCCTAGGACAGAAATGTAGCTCCAAGTCTTCCACAGCAGGTCATCATTGTAACTTACATTCAGTTGGTTGGTTTAAGGACAAAAATCTGTTACTATAGTGTTAGGAATTTAGGACTTTTTTTTAAACAGCAAGGGATAAAATACATAATTTGATCGCATACTCTGCATGGCTTCACATACAAGTCTAGGTTTCTTAAGTCTTATTTCTCCCTTACTCTAGCTTCTTAGCCCCTATTCTGAGAAAGTCACATATATATATATATGGTTATGCAGGTGAATTAGGGCCTTGTCTCCAGGATGTTGCTCAACATCTTAACATTTATCACAGAGAGCACCTTGCATAGTGTTATTGGAAGAGACATATCAACTAGGTATAGGGCTCCCAGAATGGAAGAAAAGAATAGTTGGGATGTCCGTAGAATAACCACTGAATAGCCAAACAGTGTTTGGGGCTTAGCTGACTGGCAGTTTTTTTTGATCTGCAGGAATCATTACCAGCACCTTACAAAATGCAGCCCAGTGAGTAGCTCCTCTATCTTGGATTTGGGTTTGATTCTCAGGTGGGAGGCAGAGGCTTCTTTCCAGCTCAGCTGTGGCTGCGAGATGCTGCTTGTTCTTAGAAAACCATCTTTTGTAGGCACATCTGCTTTGTAGCACTCCAAATGCTTTGGACCACGGCAACAGGAAAGAAGATGCAATATGTAACTCATCCGCAAATAAAGAGAATGTGAGTGTTTAATGGAAATCTAGATACATTAGCAGTTTTCTTCCAGTAGAGCAACTCATCAGTATCATTTTGAGACCTAGAACCATTTATGCCTCAGTATGCTAGGTAAGTAAGCTGTATCACTCTCGGAAAAAAATTCTTTATGGTTTGTTTTGCTTTGTTTCTCTTTAGGGTTTGACCCTAGGACAGAAATGTAGCTCCAAGTCTTCCACAGCAGGTCATCATTGTAACTTACATTCAGTTGGTTGGTTTAAGGACAAAAATCTGTTACTATAGTGTTAGGAATTTAGGACTTTTTTTTAAACAGCAAGGGATAAAATACATAATTTGATCGCATACTCTGCATGGCTTCACATACAAGTCTAGGTTTCTTAAGTCTTATTTCTCCCTTACTCTAGCTTCTTAGCCCCTATTCTGAGAAAGTCACGGTCCTTTTTGTCTGAGCCTCAGGCCATCCTTCAGTTTCAAGTTGAAACGGGTCTCTTCAGAGCCACCTGATCACTTAGCTAATTCTCTAACGAATCCCCTTTTCTAGCTTTGTTTTTCTTTTCCCTGCCTCTCTTCCTTTCCCTGAGGTCAGTATCTATAAAAGATAGCTGCTATTCTTCTTTTTTCACATTGTCTAGGTTATGCCCATGTTTCTGGCTGTTCTAAACAGCTTTTGCTTGATTTAATACTGTCCTTCTAATCACCTTTTATACTCACTTTTTAAAAATCTCATCATCCCTTCCCCAGTCTGGCTGCCTTTTTCCTTCCTTCCTTTGGATTGTGATGTAAAATTGTGATCTCCATACTATCATCAAATCCAAACCATCATATGTATCTTCAAGATATAGGATCAACCTTAATTACATTTAATGTGTTTCCTGGGGGTTATTCATGGCTTCATGAGATGAAATGATTTTGGTATTGCCTGCTAACACTTCTCTTCCTCCAGCCATTGTATTTTTTTATTATGCAGGAAAATAACACTTTGAAGCCCTCGGAGTGGTGGGCATCCAGGAACCTGAGGTTTGAAAAGAGACCAGGGAGGCCTTACATGTCTCCTCTTTCTCTGCTGGTGAGTCACTGCACATCAGCATCAAGGGGCAGCTGAGGTGGTGTGGGGTACGGGATGGCAGGTCTGGAGTTAGAACCCTTTAAATTTTTCTGAGCTGGTTTGGGTGTGAAAAATGGTTAGAGAAGTAATGTTGTTTAGGCAAAGGGGAGAGAGATGTCCTTTGATCTTTTGATTTGTTCAAGTTAAAAAATTTCTACTTTATTCTTCAAGGGCTTTCCCCTGCCTCCAATTTGAAAGCACTATGTGCCCATTGTGAAAATGGTTTAAAAGTATAGGAAAGTATCAAAAAGAAAATTGCTGCCTCATAGAGAAAAACAACTATTGACGTTTCACCTCATTTCTTTTTACTCTCTTAACTAGGTATATAGTTATACAAAGTTCAAGTCATTTATATATAACTTTTCAAGTTAATATTGAAATTCATAGTAAACATTATTTTTTAATAGATATTTTTATTCTAATAATGGACCATAAGTTATGTAAATACTTCCCTATTGTTAGATACTTAGTTGGTATCCAAACTTTGCTTTTACACATAATGCTATCATGTAAGTTCTTGAGCATGAATCTTTGCCTACATTTCAGACTTTTTTCTTTGGGATTATACCAAGAATTATAATTACTGGGTTAAAGGGTATGAATATTTCTAAGACTTGATACATATGGCTAAATTCCTTTCCAGAAAAGTTGTCAGAATTTACGTTTTTATGAGCAATCCATACCTCTTTTGGATAAATGATTTACTATTTCTTTAAAGTTGCTAATTAGATAAGTAATAAAATATTTTATTTTATGTTAAAAATAATTAGTAGTGGCTTCATGTAAAAATTAGCCACATTTATTTCCTCTAGTGAATAATTGTGTTTTTATTCCATTTTGCTACTGGAGTCTTAAGTTACCCAGGCACTCACTTGCTAATAGACCATAGATTCAAGATACTCCAGAAATTTGGGGTCTAATTTTAACCCTGTGGAAAAGCAGTTTTAACATATCCTATTCCAAATTGATAAAAGTTGATCATGTTTCCCATTTTTGATTTCTTGGAGGAAGGGAAGACTTGGAGAATGGTAAATCACTGGATAGTCTTTTGTTTATGTGTGTGTGATCTTTTAATGTAAAATATCCATAACAAATTTACCACTTTAACCATTTTTAACTGTACAATCCAGTGGCATTAAATACATTTACAGTGTTGTGAGATCATCACCACTACCCATTTCTAGAATTTTTTTCATCATTCAAAACAGAAGCTCTCTGTCCATTAGATACCCATACTCTCCACTCCTTCTTCGCCCAGCCCCTGGGAGCCTCTAGTCTACTTTCCGTCTCTATGAATTTGACTACTCTAGGTACTTCAGCAAGTGGCATCATACAATATTTGTTGTTTTGTGTCTGGCTTATTTCACTTAGCATAATGTCTTTAAGGTTCATCCATATTGTAGTCTTGTGACAGAATTTCACTCCTTTTTATAGCTGAATAATACTCAATTGTAATATATAGACCACATTTTGTTTATCCATTAATCTGTTGATGGACATTTGGGTTGTTCCCACCTTTTGGCTATTGAAAATAATGCTGTTGTGAACATTGATGTACAAATATTTGTTTAAATCCCTGTTTTAAATTCTTTGGTGTTTATACCCAGAAATGTTGGATCATATGGTAATTCTGTATTTAATTTTTGGGAGAAATGCTGTACTTTTATCCATAGCAGCTGTACCATTTTACATTCTAAGAGTGCACAAGGGAGAATACTTTCTTCATATCCTTGCCAATACTTGTTATTTTCTGATTTTTTTCTTTCTTTTTTTTTTAATAGCTACCCTAATGGGTATGAAGTGCTATCTATTGTGGTTTTGATTTTCATTTCTGTAATGACTAGTTGTGTTGTGCATTTTTTCATGTGCTAGTTGGCCATTTGTACATCGTCTTTGGAGAAACGTCTTTTCAAGTCTTATTTATATTTGTAGCTGTTGTTATTGTTGAGTTGTAGTTCTTTCTATATTCTGGATATTAATCCCTTATCAAACATATGATTTGCAAATATTTTCTCCCATTGTGCGGGTTGCCTTTTCACTTTCTTGATATATTCTTTGATGTACAAAAGTTTTAAATTTTGATGAAATCCAATTTATCTGTTTTTTCTTTTGTTGCCTGTGCTTTTATATTATATCCAAGAAGTCATTACCAAATCCAATGAAGTTTTTCCCCTATGTTTTCTTCTAAGAGTTTTACAGTTTTAGCTCTTACATTTAGGTCTTTGATTTATTTTGAATTAATTTTTGCATATGGTGTAATGTAAGGGCCATGCATGGTTTTTAATATTGTCAGTATACTTGATAGGACAATGGAAACTTGGTGGAAAATGAAATGCAATACTTGGGCAGCCCTGTAACTACAGTTCCAAAATTGGATAAAAACCTGGAATTAGGAGAAGACCAGGCAGAGGAGATTTCAGATGAACTGATGGAGTTTTCTCTGGAAGATCAAAAAGAGACCAAGGTAAAGTGCTCTCTGATGGCATCTTTGTATTTTTCATTTTCATTCTTGAACAAACAATATTGTATAACTAATATTTGTTGCAGCCACTATGGAAGTGGTCGGTCTGCAAAGATCAAAACGACATGGTGTCTCCACTCTAAGGGCTATCTGACTGACAGGGTATCAGGTCACCACAAGACTCTTATTACTGCTGGATGGGTAATAAGGTTGCAGTTAGCAGTTTGAATAGATCACTGCCAACGTAACCTGGTGTTAAGTGATGCCTCCAAAATAATAGTAATAAATGAAATATGCCTAGCATGATTTTTCAATATATCCTTTCATCTTCTTTTATCCTCCCTATATCACTGGGAGGAATATTTGAAGCCTGTGGCTTATTGGCTATGTACTCATATAGCAAAGATAGTTTCTGAGGCATTTAGCATTTTTGAATCAACTTCATTTCTTTGAAACAAATATGTGTAGGGGTGTGTTTTTTTAATTTATTCATTATACAAGACAAATATGATGCAGTTGAGTCAGAGCACTTGTATTCTACTCCTCATTCTCTTACTGAGCTTTATAACCATGAGCAAGACACTTAACCACTCTAAGACTCAGTTTCTCATTTATGTAATGCAGAGCACAATAATAAAAAAACCTAGAGTTGTTGTGAATATGATAAAGTATTAAAAGCAGTTTATAATATTCCACATACTTTTTGTTACTAAAAACTAAATAAACTGTAATAATATTGAATGAGGACAGTCCTCATTAAGACAGACGAGATTACTAATTTTTGAACTCTTATTTTTCTAGTCAAGCAGATAGACAATGTAAGTAAATAAGCCAATGTACAAGAAAATGACAGATTGTCAAAAGTGCTCTGACTGACAGAATGATTTGAAAAAAGGACATAGGAGTTTAGGAGGGAACTACTTTTCATTTTTACTTGAGTATCTGGAGAAATGATGACACTGTAATTAATTTGAAATGAGGGGTGAATTCAAGGGGAACGAGATATATTCTGTTTTGGATATTTGAGTTAGAGGTGTCACAGGAAACTTAAATGGACGTACTGAATAAGACATAGGAGTTATGAGGACTGGAAATGTATATTTCAGGACCATATCAAGACGCAAGGCTGCCTCTCACCTCATTTGAGATTTTACTAAAAAAAATTAAATGGATGCTTGTTAGCCAAAGAGCAAATGACTGTCATAACAGGCAAAATAATTTGACTATTACAAATTGTCCAAGTGTCATGGAGGAAACAAAATGGGGACTGAGGTAGAGACTAACAGAAGGGAACCTCAAATAGCAGAGGTTGGGAAGGACTTCTCCAGCAGGTTGATGAACTGTCCCAGTGTGCCTGCAACTGAGGAGGATCCTACGACCTGGGACTTTCAGTTCTAAAACTGGGAAAGTCCTGGACAAATTGGGGTTAGTCACTGTAGTTGTGAAGGAACCATGTGTGACCTGAGTAGAGACAAGCATTCCTTGAAGAGGAAACATTGTGCGAGCAAAGGTCTCAAGGTTGAAAGATCTTGGTGTATTCAAGAAAGTGAGAAGCCAGTGTGAGTGAGCAGAATTGCAGGAGGTGGGAAAGAAGAGGTCGGCAGGAGATAGATCATGCGGGGCCTTTAGGCTATGATGAATATTTGGATTTTATGCTAAAAGCAGTGGCAAGCTATTGGAAGGTTTTATTTATTTATTTATTTATTTACTTATTTATTATTAAGGAATCATTGATACATACTCTAATGAAGGTTTCACATGAAAAGCATTGTGGTTATTACATTAACCCATATTAAGTACCCCATATACCCCATTGAGGTCACTGTCCATCAGTGTAGCAAGATGCCACAGAGTCACTACTTGTCGTCTTTGAGCTACACTGTCTTCCCCTTGACCACACACACACCATGTGTACCAATTGTAATACCCCTCAATCCTCTTCTCCCTCCCTCCAACCCGCCCTCCCTCACCCCTCCCCTTTTGTAACTGCTAGTTCTTTCTTGGAGTCTATGAGTCTGCTGCTGTTTTCTTCCTTCAGTTTTGCTTCGTTGTTACACTCCACAAATGAGGGAAATCATTTGGTACTTGACTTTCCCTACCTGGCTTATTTCACTGAGCATAATACCCTCTAGCTCCATCCGTGTTGTTGCAAATGGTAGGATTTGTTTTCTTCTTATGGCTGAATAGTATTCCATTGTGTATATGTACCACATCTTTATCCATTCATTTACTGATGGACACTTAGGTTGCTTCCATATCTTGGCTATTGTAAATAGTGCTGCAATAAACATTGGGGTGCATATGTCTTTTGAACCTGAGAACTTGTTTTCTTTGGGTTAATTCCTAGGAGTGGGATTCCTGGGTCAAATCGTATTTCTATTTTTGGTTTTTTAAGGAACCTCCATACTGCTTTCCACAATGGTTGAACTAATTTATATTCCCACCAACAGTGTAGGAGGGTTCCCCTTTCTCCGCATCCTCTCCAGCATTTGTTGTTCCTAGTCTTTTGGATGTTGGCCATCGTAACTGGTATGAGGTGATATCTCCTTGTGGTTTTAATTTGCATTTCCCTCATGATTAGTGATGTGGAGCATCTTTTCATATGCCTGTTGGCCATCTGAATTTCTTTTTTGGAGAACTGTCTGTTTATAGTCTCCGCCCATTTTTTAATTGGTTTATTTGCTTTTTGGATGTTGAGGCATGTGAGTTCTTTATATATTTTGGATGTTAACCCCTTGTGGGTTATGTTGTTTACAAATATATATTCCCATACTGTAGGATGTCTTTTTGTTCTGCTGATGGTATCCTTTGCTGTACAGAGGCTTTTTAGCTTGATGTAGTCTCATTTGTTCATTTTTTATTTTGTTTCCCTTGCCTGAGAAGACACGTTCAGGAAAAAGTTGCTCATGTTTATATTCAAGAGAGTTTTGCCTATGTTTTCTTCTAAGAGTTTTATGGTTTCATGACTTACATTCAGGTCTTGGATCCATTTTGAGTTTACTTTTCTGTATGGAGTTAGACAATAATCCAGTTTCATTCTCTTACATGTAGCCGTCCAGTTTTGCCAACACTAGCTGTTGAAGAGGCTGTCATTTCCCCATTGTATATTCATGGTTCCTTTATCGTATATTAACTGACCATATATACTTGGGTTTATATCTGGGCTCTCTATTCTATCCATTGATCTATGGGTCTATTCTTGTGCCAGTACCAAATTGTGTTGACTACCGTTGCTTTATAGTAGAGCTTGATATCAGGGAGCATAATCCCCCCAGCTTTATTCTTCCTTCTGAGGATTGCCTTGGCTATTCGGGGTCTTTTGTGGTTCCATATGAATTTTAGAACTATTCATTCCACTTAGTTGCAAATTGTCCTTGGTGTGTTGATAGGGATTGCATTGAATCTGTAGATTGCTTTATGATTTTTAATTTATTCATTATACAAGACAAATATGATGCAGTTGAGTCAGAGCACTTGTATTCTACTCCTCATTCTCTTACTGAGCTTTATAACCATGAGCAAGACACTTAACCACTCTAAGACTCAGTTTCTCATTTATGTAATGCAGAGCACAATAATAAAAAAACCTAGAGTTGTTGTGAATATGATAAAGTATTAAAAGCAGTTTATAATATTCCACATACTTTTTGTTACTAAAAACTAAATAAACTGTAATAATATTGAATGAGGACAGTCCTCATTAAGACAGACGAGATTACTAATTTTTGAACTCTTATTTTTCTAGTCAAGCAGATAGACAATGTAAGTAAATAAGCCAATATACAAGAAAATGACAGATTGTCAAAAGTGCTCTGACTGACAGAATGATTTGAAAAAAGGACATAGGAGTTTAGGAGGGAACTACTTTTCATTTTTACTTGAGTATCTGGAGAAATGATGACACTGTAATTAATTTGAAATGAGGGGTGAATTCAAGGGGAACGAGATATATTCTGTTTTGGATATTTGAGTTAGAGGTGTCACAGGAAATTTAAATGGACGTACTGAATAAGACATAGGAGTTATGAGGACTGGAAATGTATATTTCAGGACCATATCAAGACGCAAGGCTGCCTCTCACCTCATTTGAGATTTTACTAAAAAAAATTAAATGGATGCTTGGTAGCCAAAGAGCAAATGACTGTCATAACAGGCAAAATAATTTGACTATTACAAATTGTCCAAGTGTCATGGAGGAAACAAAATGGGGACTGAGGTAGAGACTAACAGAAGTGAACCTCAAATAGCAGAGGTTGGGAAGGACTTCTCCAGCAGGTTGATGAACTGTCCCAGTGTGCCTGCAACTGAGGAGGATCCTACGACCTGGGACTTTCAGTGCTAAAACTGGGAAAGTCCTGGACAAATTGGGGTTAGTCACTGTAGTTGTGAAGGAACCATGTGTGACCTGAGTAGAGACAAGCATTCCTTGAAGAGGAAACATTGTGCGAGCAAAGGTCTCAAGGTTGAAAGATCTTGGTGTATTCAAGAAAGTGAGAAGCCAGTGTGAGTGAGCAGAATTGCAGGAGGTGGGAAAGAAGAGGTCGGCAGGAGATAGATCATGCGGGGCCTTTAGGCTATGATGAATATTTGGATTTTATGCTAAAAGCAGTGGCAAGCTATTGGAAGGTTTTATTTATTTATTTACTTATTTATTATTAAGGAATCATTGATACATACTCTAATGAAGGTTTCACATGAAAAGCATTGTGGTTATTACATTAACCCATATTAAGTACCCCATATACCCCATTGAGGTCACTGTCCATCAGTGTAGTAAGATGCCACAGAGTCACTACTTGTCTTCTTTGAGCTACACTGTCTTCCCCTTGACCCCACACACACCATGTGTACCAATCGTAATACCCCTCAATCCTCTTCTCCCTCCCTCCAACCCGCCCTCCCTCACCCCTCCCCTTTTGTAACTGCTAGTTCTTTCTTGGAGTCTGTGAGTCTGCTGCTGTTTTCTTCCTTCAGTTTTGCTTCGTTGTTCCACTCCACAAATG